TGGAAAAGGCCGGAGGTCGAAAAGGACGACTTGGGCGGCGAATTTCCACCCGCCAGCGCCTGGGCCGGTACTCGGTATCTCAATTTAGCGCGCAAAAGTAAAAGTGGAACCGAGAGTGGTATGCCGCTGCTGCGGCTTATATTCAGGTGCGGCTTATAGTCCGAAAATTACGGTATTTATTTAAAGGGAAGCAGTGGTGCTGGTGATCAAAGGAAGGTTCACCTCAGGTCATCATTAAAGGAAGTTTGATGGTTTCCTGGCCGCAGGCAGAATGAAGATGAAAAAGTCAAATTAAGTCGCCCTATTTTCCTCACCCTTATCATCTCTGTCACCCCTCTCTCTTTTCCCATGTCATGTCTGTCTTTCTGTCTCCCAGGCAAATCGTAATTGTTTAGTCATGGCCTCCACCCATGACATCCAGGAGTTGGATGTGTCATCCATCTTGGCCACACAGATCTTGACATGGATCGATGACGAGGAGGCCGAAGCCAAAGGGTAGGAGTGCAATCTGTGTGTGTTTTGTTTGCTGTGAGAGTTCACCCAGAGTAACATCCACTCACTTTTCACCCTCATACCAAGAGAGCTAAATTGAGTGCTGGCTGGGGACAATGTGATTGGTTCTGTAATTGTGTAGGTGGTGGATATGCATCTCTATTATGTGTTCATTATTATTGCATGTGCCACATTGTTAATAGATATATTTGTGTATAGCTGCTTCTTTCTATGGACAGGGCCACTTTCTGTCAGTGTGCGTTGTTCTAATTATATATTTTTTGTGTTAAAAACAGCAATTTAAAAAATAACAATATACCTTTTTATTTCTGCCTTTTGTGTTCTCTTTCTTGTCCAATGTTCAATTTCTTTACTAAAAGAATGATCTTGTTCTGAATTCAGAAAGCAGTTTACTGCTAAAATGTCATAAATTGAGAGCAGCATAAAGAGTGAACTGAGAACACTTTATTATCTGATTCATCGGTTGAGTGGTATTCATCAGGGAATATCGTTACTGTGATAAGTTTTGGGGTATTTGTCCTCATATTGTGCATCCCTAATACCTGCTACCAGTTATATTTCCCAATAAATGCACACGTTAACTTATAGACAAGATCATTCTGGCATCATTTTTGGTTTGATTGTTATTTTCCATACAGGGTTATCATTTCTTCTTGGAAGACTTTCCTGTGTGTTTAAATGGCTAATTTCACATCCGACCAACTTGAAAATGTGCCTTTCCTTTTTGCCACTGATGCATTTACACTGATGTTAATCACTTGCCATCGACTCTTGGGAGAATAAATAGGTCAGTTAAAGAACATTAAAACCTGAACGCACAGAGATAGCACTGATATTCATCTTTTTTTCTTCTCGTTTGTCCCTTTTTAAGATTTCACTAGCTTAATGAAATTAATTTCACAATATAACCCAATATTTTGTCCCTGCAGTGTTTCTGATGACTTCCTGGTGGTGCATGCACGCGATGACTTTGCCACCATCCACGGCACCACGCCGTACACTCACAGCAGCCCAGGCACCCCCATCAACATGCCGTGGCTGGGTGGGGTGCAGACAGGCCGGGGTGCAGCCATGGTGAGCTGTTCTTTACCCCATCTGTGTTCTCATGCTTTAGTGATTTGCATATTTACATACCTGACAACTCTTTCACAAAGCATCTTGCATTGCACCGTTGGAGCTTGAATGTAGGTGGATGTGTTAAGAGGGTGTCATCCATTTAAGAACAAAAGTGCTGTTCATCAGCCAAGTCTAAGACTACCAAACCAGTCGAGGAAAACTACCATGAAATTATAAAATGGCTCAAAACCAAAGCTAGATAACTATTTGCCGGATACCTCAATGATAATTGAATTGATCCTCTACTGTTGTCATTTGGAAATGAATCCAAATCTAGTATGGAGTTAAACCTTGAAAAAACCCATCAGTATTATTTCCACAGGTTTAATACACTATACACACATGTTCTGGATTTGATTAATGAGGTCTGTTGTACTTGAAGCAAAATCCTCAAAGCAGTTTAAACAACTTTAATCAATAATTCATTTTAATCTGGCCTCAGTTAACCAAAAGCGTCTTGGCTGCGAACATGAACTTCCTTCCATGATTTACAAAGTAACACAGATGCTCTGACTGCTACAGCTTGGAGACACCAGGTTCTGTCATTCTTATACTTGTATTTATAAAAACAGAAACATCTTTCAAAGCCATTTTACTGAGCAGATACATTTGGCAGTAGCAGTCACTAGGGGTATTGGTTTTATTTTGGTGGTAGCAGTGTTTTGGAAACGAGTCAGCGGTGAGTCATGTTGTGTTGATCTCGATAAGCAGAGCGGACAGTTAGAGCCCTAATTACTTCAGCAACCAGTCAGGCTGGTGCTCAAGGTTGGAGCAGAATACGTTTACAGACAATAATAAATAAAATCCCTGGCAGACATTGCTGTTAATGTCTGCCTTTCTTGGCCACCAGTCAAAACACATGACAGGAGATAATAACAGAGCTTCACTACATTAAGGCAATGTATGCTATATGATGGTAGAGCCACCATCCATTTATGCTGTTATTTATGCAGCCTTATATATGTGCCTTGGCATAATTAAGATTTGCATTTTCTGAGCTCATTAATTAGATTTTATCTACAGATGAGCCTTTTTTAGACCTTGTTGGGTAAATGTTAAGGCACTTTTAACATTTACATAAAACTTAATGGCAACCCATTAGTAACAAGCCATTAGTTTAACAGAGAGAGGAAGCTGCAGTGATAAGAGCTTTAGTATCGTGTCATATTGTTTAAGTGTCGACTGGTACATAGTTCTCTGTTGTAAAGAACTACCGTGTATCATAATAAAGTTTTATATTTGTTTCTACTCAAGTTGGCTTACTAAACATCTTCTTCTCCTCCGTTTCACTTTTCGTCACCTAGATGATCAAGAGAAATATCAACAATGTGAGAAGAATGACCTCCCATCCCACACTGCCGTATTGTAAGTACGACTGTCAGTGGATTAGAACCGTAAATGCATATTACATTTGCTATAATCATGTCTCTTATGTTAAAGGGCTTTCAGGGGATGATTATATCACAACCAAAGTTTATCTTTTTCTTCTCGTCCCAGTTTGGTGGATTTAGTAAGGCTGAGTGAGCCCTGTTTGTTAACTCACTTTTCAGTCATTCTGCAGAGTGGGGATTCAGTTGTTGTTTGGCTGGGACGATTCCCAGCACGTAAAATAAATGGCTGTTTTCTTTGTTTGTGAATAAACCATTTCCTATCAATTATACATATGGAAGATTTTGCGAAACTAAGAAATGCTAAAACCTCGTGTTGGGACTTGCATCCTCGTTGAGATGCACGGATAAACGAGCTGACGGCACACTTTGTTTTTCTGTATTTCAGACCTGACAGGAGCGCAGGATGGAAGCGTCCGGATGTTCGAGTGGGGTCACTCCCAGCAGATCATCTGCTTCAGGAGTCCAGGCAACTCCAGAGTCACCCGGATACGATTCAACCACCAGGGGAACAAGGTGACACTTAACCACCACACCCAGAAGTCAGACTATTCTTAGCTTTGAACTGCTTTGTGATGTGAGGTCTGATTCAGCAACATATTCACTCTTTGCCGTTCAGGCTCAAACCTCAGTGGGGGGTTTGGCTCGAGCACATTTTGTTATTCAGCCGAGTGATTCAACTGCTCTTAACTCAGGCAGTCGCCTCGAGCTGATAACTTTCTCAGATGGTGCTTCTCCTGTGCCAGTACCGTCTTCTCTGGCCAAAAGAGTGAAATATGCTTGAAAAAAATATATTGGAAGAACCATCAGATTTAGATTTGAGTTTATGTCTGTTTGTTAGTCGCTGTTGAAGTGGTTTGGAAGATAGTTTGAGAACAAGCCAAGTCACGCAAACACAGCAGGAGGACAGGACAGTATGTTATTTCTCTCTGATGTAAAATAAAAGATTATTCTAACTTGATTTGAGCAAAGTCTGATCTATGCTCTCTGAATGTTGTTTTTAGTTTGGTATCGTGGATGCTGATGGAGGTTTGAGTCTCTGGCAGACCAACACCAGTGGGACTGCTCCCAAACCATACCTGGTAAGAGACTCACTGAGCCGATGGATCTCTATTTAACTGACATGTTTCTCTTTCAAGATGTTCTCACACTTTCTTCCTGTTATTCTAATGTTTTGTTTAATCTCCTGCTTCTCTCTTTCCTTCTTTGTTCCTCTCTGACAGACGCTGCATTGCCACAACAAGACAGCAAACGACTTTGTCTTCGTGGGCTCCTCCTCCCTCATTGCCACTGCAGGACTCTCAACAGACAACAGGCACGAGAGGAGAATTTTCCAATTGAATTATGTTTTATGAACTTCTAATGAACTGCTGCATCGTTTGAATTCAGCTCCACTGCACTGTGACCAGCAGTGATAATGGCCTGCCCTGATTGGATAGTAATATTGTTGTTCTTTCGCCTCCACAGGAACGTGTGTCTGTGGGACACTCTGGTGACTCCTGCCAACAGCCTGGTGCATGGTGAGATGCAGCTCAGCAGAACTGCTTATTTGATGAATCACCTAAAGCCATCTGCAATAATACTGCGAATCATTTAATAATAAAACGTTTTTGTTTTTTTGTCCAAACAAAAATATACGACAACCCGTTTCCACCGTCTCTAATGTGAATATTCACTTTTTTAAATAAGAAAGTTGCCTATAAACTGTTGGTGGAACAAAACAAACAAATGAAAGACATCTGCTGAGACATTTGTTTTTTTATTCTGCAAAATAATTGGCAGAGAAAATTAACATAATTCCCAGCCCTTATTCCAAATATTATCCTCAAGTACAAATATCCCATCCTTCTCCTCAGCGTTCTGCTGCCACGAGTCCGGGGCCACGGTGCTCCTGATGGCCTCCAGGCAGCAGCTGCTCATCACGGGAGGGAGGAAGGGCTGGATCAGCGTCCTGGAGCTCGCCCCCCGCCGCCAGCGCCAGAGCTTCCTGGCTCACGACTCCCCCGTCAAAGCTCTGGCTGTCGACCCCACCGAGGACTGCTTCATCAGCGGGTCAGCTGAGGGCAACATCAAGGTAACAACACCTGTGTTGAATACATTTGATAGATTTTGAGATGTATAGTTAATTAAGAATAAGATGGATCTTTATTAATCCCCGAGGGGAAATTCATTTTTTCACTCTACTGGTAGTATACAATTATACAATTACACACATATGCCGGAAATACACACACATGCAAACAGGACCTATGCATTGATGAAAAGGTGGAAGACCATAAGGGCTGCTAGTATTCCGGTGCCAGGGAGCAGTTTGGGGGGTTTCGGTTGGGTGCCTTGTTCAAGGGTTCCTCGGCAGTGCCCAGAAGGTGAACTTGCACCTCTCCAGCTACCAGTCTCTGGTTCGAGTCGCGATTGGACCAAAAAAATACAGAGACCTTTTGCTGTCCAAGCCAAGTCCCTTCAGACTGACGCAGGGTGGGTTCCTAAATTACTTTTTTAATATATAAAATAAAAGTATATTTAAAAACTTTTTTTTTTTTATTAGAATCTCCCCGAAATAATGGTCATTTCATTCTAGACTTTTCCCAGAAAGTCATTGTTTTACATGAGTGATTCACTGGGGGCAGTCATTTGTAAAAACTTGGATTATAGAAACAATTTTAATAAAATCCTCGACACAAATTTCTCCGTACCTGTCAGAAGAGTCCTGTCGGGCGTCTGGTCCCAGGAGGGTGAGTGTCTCCCCCCTCCCCCACGTCAACAATCAGATGTCGCACATTCATCCCTGGAGACACTGAGCCCTATCAAAGTCATTCAAACAAATGTCGCTCTTATGATTAACCACCTGCTGGGACGACAGTGTGAATGACGGGGACTAAAATGTAAGGTGAAAGCAGTGTGACACAGTTAGAGCGCGAAGGAAAGCGCTTCGACTGAGCAGGCAGGAGACGTGACGGTCTGCAGATATTAGATCCCCACAGACAGCAGCTCTTTCATCTTTCTGACTTAAATGTGTTGGCGAGGATCACACCGCTGTCACTCCAAGGGTGACACTGCAGACGTATGAGAAATGGTGCAGTGCACATCTGCTTGAAATACAAATGGCTTTTATTCTGGATGATTGCTACCAGAAACTCCATCATCTGAGGCCATTAATTGTATATCGACTGATTGGAAATGTAGCGTGGGTGAGCTGCAGATTTCTGAGTCTTTAAAATGTTTGATGAGTCCATGAAAGTGGAAAATTAACTAACATAACAGCCTTCAGTCTTTGAAATACCTTATCAAATAATAAAGCTCCCAGGCCGGGAATACCACTCAAACAATGCAAGTTGCTCAGAGCTATCCGTGGTTCCCTGAAGATTTAAATATTTGAAAGCAGGTCACAAATGTCTAGAATTTATGTTTGGTATATATCATTTTTTATTTAAAGTGTATTTTTACTAGGCTATTTTAAAACATTGAAGTGTGGAAGTATATGCATAGTGTATATACAGTACATAAGTACACACATATGTGTATCTATCGAATGCTACGTATCAAATTATTAAGGAATTATTGCACTTATACAATGGCCACTTTCCAACAAAATGCCATATATAACCAAATAGAAATTAAACAGTTTTTCATTTACTTATAAAACACATTTGTGAGATAAACAGACAGGGTGAGCAGTACCTGATTTGGCTATTCAACAAAGCAGTGTACATGAGACAAAGCTAATTCCTGAGTTTGAGGATCCTTGTGGGGCAACACCTAGCTAAATAGGAAGATGATTTACAAATGACATTTAAATAGGGAGAGAAAGAGACATTGTACTGGTTGCTGGAACATAAGTCCTAATCATACTCAACCTTACAAGAATAAAATGGTGCTTCATCCTAATGTATAAGTACCTTGGGAAAATGGACAATCAAAGTAGCAGTTGAATGCTCTACTGTCGTGGAGCTCTGTGTTTATCCTCAGGGGTTCTTCAATATGCAGCACTTATACACAAAAAGAATCTCTTTGTTAACTTTCCTCTTCTCTCCCAGATCTGGAGCCTGGCCACACAGTGTCCGCTCTACAACTTTCCCAACGAACACGCTCGCCAGTCGCTCTTCAGGAACCTGGGCACCGGCGTCATGCAGATCGAGGTGGGACCGGCCAATCACATCTTCTCCTGCGGCGCTGACGGGACCATGAAGATGAGGGTCCTCCCCAACCGCTTCAGCGTCGCCAATAACAACCACAACAGTGACGTCAAGTTCATCATATAGACACATACAGGGAAATACATTGGTGAAAGCTATTTAATATTATAATGTGAATCTAGCAGTACTGCTGCCGTGGAAACGCCTCTACACCTGGAACAGTGTTTGTCAGGCCGTGACAGAACAATGATAAGTGTTTTGAACCAGTGTAAATGAAGAATTAAATAACAAAGGAGGAATACTCAAAAGACTACTGAAAAGAGTGAGATCCAGTGAGTCTGATGCCAGGGCCTAAGAGTGAAGCGATCGCATCGAAGCTCTTTGATTAGGACATGACCCGAAGCCGAGCAATCACAGGAGCCTCTTCAAGTGTTTTACCTGCAGTTAAAGTGGGCACCGGGTAATGCCGAGGGCACAGTCTATCGGAATTAACTGAAAGAGACGACAAAAAACTGCTGCAGACTTATTAAAGCAAACTGCTGTCTCAGCGAGGACTGGACACCACGTGGGGAGCCTTTTTTTGCACAGGAAGTGAAGCTGTGGAAGTCACAGGAAGTGACAGGAGACTGTGAAGAGTCTAACGCTGCAGCGCTGTCCTTCTCATATCAGTCTATTAGTCCGTATTAGCAAAGCATCATGGGGGTGGAAGCTGGAGTCATTGCTGAAGTGTTAAGGTGGTAAAATATAGTAGACTTTGTTGTGCAGGCAGGATAATGGGGGGGTGGGGGAATGTCACCACAAGCACAATTCAGTAAGGCCAGTGTTCGTCCTACAAAGCACATTATATCCAGTCACAAGGCGCATTCTGGTGCTTCATTTAAAAAAATGTTTTACACAAAGAGTCAGCTTGGTTGGGAAAGCAGGTGTTTGTCGTGGTAAAACCACAATTTAGGAATCACACAAAAACATTTCATATCACTATTATCGCTTCAGGTTTTAATTACAGGCAATTGGCTGTTGACCTTTTTCAACCAGAAAAATGCTTTCGTATAAGTGCAAAAATAACGCAAATATCTTAAGACACTTACTACGCCAATGCACTTTCTGGCATAAATGTTTGAGAAGAGTACATCCTTTCTCGACTGGTAACTATGGTTACTGCCAGCGGACAGCTAGCTACAGTCTTTGAGCCAAGCTAGCTACAGTCTTTGAGCCAAGCTAGCCATTTTAGCATAAAGGCTAAGACGTACAAAAACGTTTCCAGAGCCACGCTAAGTAAGCTAAGCTAACCAGCTGCTAAAACTTCATAGTTAACCCGCAGAAAAAAAAGAGTATCATATCTAGTGTTCGGTTAGAAAATAAGTATATTTCCCTAACTGTTTAAACATTGTTTTAATCAAGCTCATGGTAAAGTGGGACATACATTTATGTGTGTGCCGCTATCCAAAGTTTCCTAATTGAATGGACTACCTGAATGCGCATTTTCTCAAATCACTCTATTTGCACATAATCATGAAGCTAGATAAGATGTAGTGAATATGACTATATGAGGCTGGATGTCAGTAAAGCAGTCTATGCCTTTGGTAATAATAAGTTGAATATATAGTAGGCCTACGAAGTGCGTTTATCCAAGCCTAGATTAAACTGGTATTATTATTAAGTGTCCTTATTATCTAAACCACACTGGCACAGTACTTTGTTGCTCTTCACAATATTGATGATTATTGATATTAAGTTGCACACAGTAGCTTTCATTTACAAGGACTTGTTTGAATGGGACACGTGAATACCATAATACCTTTCTGGCTGCAGTAACAGTACAATGATAAGACATGTAGCAGGACACTTTGCTGTAGACAATGGAAATGGTTGGGGTACGATTACAATGGGGGTAGTATTACAATTTGAATGAACATACTACTTTGTTGTGGAAATGCTTTATTCCGATAACAATGCACTTCCCTTTCATTTACTGCTAACTCTAATTTCCAAACGGACCATGATTGCAAACCGCCTTCGAGACGATATTGTTTGCCTTGTAGTGTTCGGAGTATTATCAGCTTTGCTTCAGTTGCTTTGTCACGGTTATAGGAATACCTCTTATCATTCAGTTGCTTTACTTTTCATCCTAAATCAGAAGATTGCCTTCAGTATATGCTTTGGAAATGTAATCTAGGTTAGTGTACAATATGAAGGTTCTTCCACATGTGTGAGGAAGAGCTTCATGCAAACTGTCCGATAGTAGTTTAGTCTGAAGGAATATAATGAAGCTATTTACCCATAAACCCTTGTTGTGCTGCTGTAGCTTTGATTTCAGGGAGGATTCGTTTTCAGATGTATTAGTTATGTATATACATAGATCTATAGGCCTCTCATGATGACTGCATAATCATAAGTCGTAGATATGACCAGAGCCACTTTATGAAGAATATTCTGTATAAAACAGGTATATTTATTAAACATATTAAGGATTATCGACTGAGCCATCTATCAAGGCAGACGTAATGTTATTTTTTTCCTCTCGATGGGTCACTAATAGTTTCTTTTTGCTCATTATTTCCCGTTGTGAGCTTGAACAACCAGGATGTGTTTCATTTTTTCCCCCCACAAATCACAGTGGTTGGAAACTGAAGTGTACTCCTGCAGCAAATGGAGATTAAATATTTTTTATCAAAGCCAAACTAAATGTACAGAACGGGAGAATAAAGTCAATTTTATCAAAGCAAGTGTTTTTTTTCTTTCTAATATTACTCATAAACAGATCAGTATCCCACATCAGGGTCAGAGTAAACAAACTCAGCTAAATAAAAAAATCACATTCAACTCGCACTTGTATTGCTTTTTCCCCTATTGTAAATGTGAATTTGATCAGATAATTCTAATTTTATAATGTCATGTAAATTGATGTATTAAAGACACAACATATACAGATGTAATAAAAATAATGATGTGCTAAAAGCAGATGTTTTTTGTAATTTTAGAAACAAATGTGACTGTTGATCAAATATCTCAAACCAAAGGGCCGTACGTTTATTAGGAACATTAAACATCTACTTTCCCTAGTAAGTATGACATTGACACGTTTCAGTTGTTTTAGTCTGAATAACTTTATTTATATTGGAGCCAACAAAATCATTATCAACATCATTGCACTGATATAAAGATATGTTCATAGTTAGTTTACATTTCATGACTCACTTTTCCTGTTGAGCTTTATCTCAGTTATGTTTACATTGATTTCTTTGCATGTCACCACCAGATCAATGGGATAGTGTGAGAAAAGGACCGCTTGTGTCCAAAAACAAAACAAACCTCTACTGGTGCTACACTCCACAGGGGAAGTTGTTTTTTTTTAAGGTGTTTTCACTAAAAAATAACAGCTGTATGGATTTGAGACGGACACAAAAACCAGCTGAAAATAGTGACACAGCTCCTTGGAGCTGAGGAGAACTTCAGATCCAGATGATCATTCTGTGTGGATTCATCACTGCAAGCAACACTTTGACTATAATCATCCGATACATTGTTCTAAAAATAGAAGTTATAGACATTTTAATTACCTTCCACAGTCCAGCAGTATTACATATACTGAAAATGAGCTTTTAGTTGAAACTACTTAATTATTTGTTTGAACAAAATGATTACACTCCTCAAAGGTTCAACTGAGGTTGCTGTATCAGAATTAACAGAAATATTAATTACGACCATAAAACAGTTTTACATTTGAATTATCCCTTCAAACAGTGCCTTGACCCAATGATGGGCAGAATGTTGGACGACTGTGTGTCCTATCTTCTTAAGATAAAGAAAACTGAAAAATCTTTAAAAGTATTGCTTAATGTTTGGATCTTAAAAGGCAGTTGAGTTAAGTGCACATTTTCAGAAGCAAAGAGTCCTTATGGACCAAACTCGGTGAACTCAACGATGAAATTGAATACATTTAAGTAAACCGTCTATTTGATCAAGTCATGTTTGTACATTTTGTATCTCTTCAGTGAAAGTTATTTTACATGAGAACATTTATTCTGAAGCGGTATAAATCACAAGAGGAAAATCATATTAACACAAATGGACGGAGAGAGCTGCTGAGTTAATGGAGTCGTCTGAGGAGCTCACAGCTTGGCGTGGTCTTTCAGGATGACCTCCAGCTTCTGACTCAGCATAATGTTCCCTCTAACCTTCAGTTTGCCGGAGAAGAACGCCTAGAAAACGACAGACATACTTTCAGTTGGGCTTTTAGTTTGATTCAAGCAAACAGGGAGGGAAACGAGGCAAAGAGTCCTACAAATGAAAAGGCAACAAGTGAGGGGGCAGCAGAAAAATGAAAAATATTCATAAGGTTCCGAGCTGCGAGGTGCAGTCTCTTTATCGCTTTCCTCGGCTAGAATCGATCAGGGAGCGGCCGCCATGACGACCCTGGATCGCAGCATCCTCTTTAACTGCCATCTTATATTCCTCCTGCTGCTCTTTTCATCATCGGCAAGGCTGGAATTAATCATTTCATTGACTTCTTTGACATGATGAGATCAAGGACAAAGGCACTGCTTTAATTAAAATGTACAAGGTGGGATTTTAACACGGAGGAGAAAAAGACGGGATTATTAAAAAAAATAATATAAGCATCTGTTCTGAGAAACTTGAACTACAACACTCCCTCAGCTTATAGATGCTAAGCAGGTGGTGCTCTGGAACAATGTAACAGTATAGAGCAGGGGTCTCCAAACTACGGCCCGGGGGCCAAATGCGGCCCGTGGACCATTTTGAATCAGCCCTCAGCAAATTCTGAAAGTATAATGGAATATGGCCCACAAATTAAACTTGTGCTTGTCTTGTATTGTACTTCTTACATATATATGTAAACATTACACTGTATTTATGTGTTAATAAGCCCACTTTTTAAATAAATCCAGTCAATTAAAGTTGGAAACATTTCATAACAAATCTAACTTGATAAGAAAAACCCCAATAACTTATTTGTAAAACAAGTGTAAAATATACCCTTCATATTTCCACTAATAATAAGCGATCTGAGGCCCCTGTTTTAAGGAATGAGTTGCCAACATNATGTCACAATCGAGACTCACAATCGCTACGGATTACATTTGTGGCGTATAAGCAGGTTTTTGTCGAGCCCGTAACAATAGGACATCCCGCCACCCACATTTCGGTCGATGTAAAGGCTAATAATGCAGTATAGCCTGCGTTTAGACCCTAGTCGAGGCTACATCGGGGTAAAATCCCTAAACCAATGCCTCCTTTTTCCTCTCTCCAAAAAAAAACTGCGCCCGGACTCAAGGGACCTGTGTGGCCCCTGGTCACAACCCCACATTCGCAATGTTTTCATTGCCTCAATGTCATTATACTATGAAAACGACAATTGCTACATTACATTGCTATGATTACTTTACCACCCATTATAATAATGGGCAATGTTACGAGTTCATTGCGTCAATGTGTGTTAAACAAATTGGGGCTTTGAATTTACCACAAACCAACTTACCATGATGTGTATCGCCTCTGGTACCAGGCTGCGGTCTGTTAACACGCCCATTAACTATAGAGACCACACAAATGGGAAGTCCGAAGCGCATGCCACTAGAAGCCCCGTAACTGTACTAATACGTGGAGTAAGTCTTTTCCTTGTCTCGCTTTTTATGGTTGTTGTTAACACACGTCGCACGCGCACTGGACGAGGCGACGCTCACGTAGTAAAGTTTTCACGAAGGTGTCGCTCAACTGTGGTGCGTAGACACCTATTAGTTTATCGTTTTTACCATTTCGTTGGTAGTGATTTGCGGTTGTTTGTGACGTAGAATGACGCTGTCATCGTTGTCCAGTCTACCCTGTAGTGCAATGGGCAGGCACACCGCAAACAATCGAATGAGGGCGGACTGAGCGGCCGGAGCGGGGGCCTCGTACGATCAGACAGCTAGCCGGAGCTTTGATGCCGGCGGGGAGACGCCCGGCAGTTGTGTGTGAAGAAGCAGGAAATAAAAAGGAACTCACCTTGTGGTATAACCGGCAAGAGAGAAAGCCTTTGAGCTCCATACTGTTTCAGAAAGAATCCTTTTCATCACCGCAGAATCTGCCGGTAGCATCTCCCGCATGAGCTCAGCCCCCTGAGTGAAATAGAGGGATATGAGGCATGGCTAGAATCGGTGATCTGTTTGGTATTTTGAGCAAAACACTTCATAGAAATGTTTTTAATATATTTTTATATATCTGAGACCTATGCTATTGCCTAAAGATAGCATGATGGGTCCACTTTAAACGGCTGTACGATGTTTTGCAAATGGGAGCAGACCTTGTCCAGGTTCAACTTAATGGTATGACCATAGTGGGTATGACCAACACAATGGGTTGTCAGTTAGCCTACCAATGTTTGTCCATTATATTATTGTTTATTGTACAATTTTAGCCCCAAACAGCATTTAAAATATCAAAACTTATGAGTTTATGAGTTCAACTTGCTACTAGTATGCTAGCTTGACAGGACAGAACAGAGAGATAATAAAACATTAGCTCAAATATTAGCTTATTAGTGATGTTGCAGTGTCCAGTTTTTCCCTGCCATATCATAGTTTGAAGATAGTTTTGAGACAGGAGTCATTGGTACACATTGAACCATTAGCATGCTAAATCGCAAGCTAACTGTTAGTTTGAAAGCAAGCTATCGTGGCAAAGCAGCAGAGTGTTTATACTTTTAAGGTCGAGCTCAAGACCTAACTTTTATATTTAGCTCTTTCTGAGTGTTGAAAAGTGCTCTATAAATACATATGGATTCAATTATTTACTGATAGTGACTTACAAGAGCATATAGCAATTTCCAGGTTAGCTTACTAGCTACAGTAATTTGGCAACTAACCTGCGAGTAGTCTTTACGTTTCCAAACTTAATTTGCAAAGAAGGGCAGAATACATTTGCTGCAAATCTCTGGTGTGTCTGGGCCTATAAGGGAAAGGTCTTTCTGAAGATATTCCCGCAGAGGTGAGCAGCGAATAAAAAGCTAATGGCAAAGGACTCTGGTTGAGTGACCAAATGTTCTTAAAGAAATGTTACAAACTTGTTTTAAATAATGATCCTTATGTTGGTCATAAAACATGTTAATGACACTTACATTTCATTTTTTAAATATAATCTGAATCGTGACTATTTGTAGGAAACATGGGTATTCAACAGGATTAAAACTAGCTTATTCTAAAACTCCACAAAGGCCATCTTTCTCAGCAAGCCCACCTGTCGGTCGACCACACAGCCGTCTCAAAGGTCCTCTGATGGTGCAAGAGACCAAAGCCCATCTATCTGTGTCTGGTGATGCTCCTAAAGG